CACTCGGAGTTCCTCTCCCTCAAAGAGAATCGACGCCGCGGAGGTGAGGCGGAAACTCATTGCGAGGATTGTGGGGGCCGTTGCTATTTTCTTCATAGTGTTTAGCTGTGTCCTGCTAGGGATATCTTTTAATATGTCAGATGACATCAACGATAAAGGTATGTAAAGAGAGTGACAATGTGTCAACCTTCACTCGCTCTAATTAACAAAAAGATAAACATGCATTGTCTACATGTTTATATATTGTCGTACATGTATATATTTCATGTGTTAGAATTGCCAAAAAGTATATTATCTATAATGAATTGATTATAATTTCGTATATTGATCTCAGAAGTCAAAGAGCACAGTTAGTCAGTAGTTTAATGTGCAATTCTAAATACGTATTCCCAAAATTTTAGCGTGAATTTTTGATGTGATGAGTGGACATTTTTTGTTTGCTTTACACAGAATTTTTCAGAATTAATAAAATATTGCTATATGGATCGAATATCTAATGTTTAATTAAAATAAAAACCAAAGTACATATAACAGTTAACCGTAAATAACCGATAGTAAAATCAAAGTTAAAAATAAAAAAAATAAAACTTCAAAATGGCCTAGGAGCTAAAAACCAACATGGTCAAAGGTTCAAGATATATTTGTTTTTCGGGTCAGATGGCCGCGTTCGCAGAGCTAACGAGTAATTCCATGTTATATTTAGCTTTCCGGTTAGTTCAACTTCAAAAAGCAAAGAAACTATTATACTATTATGCTCTTACTGTTAACCATTATTTAAACCTTCATAAATGACTAAATGATTTCAAGTAATACAACTCGCCCTATAGTAATTTTGTATTACATATTAACATGTACTCTACACTTTTGGCTATTGAATAGTAAAGGGTCTTTTTAGTGCCAGCATCCACTGAGCATGCGACACGGAAACTCGATTTATTCGGTCCCATCCGAGGGACCGGTCTCCACGTCCCGCAGGGGGATTCGAACCCGCGACGTAAGGATCAATTCCTTACTTCGGCAATGTACAGTGAAGCGAGTTTTACGTCGTAAAGGTACATTAAACGATCAATCAATAATCTGGTCACTTTAAAATATTATTAATATTGCTAGATAGACACCAAGTGTTAGACATATGTTAAAAATTGACATCATCAGGTTTTCTAAATGTTTTCACATGCACAATATGTTTAGATTCTAAGACTGAAAAATGTTTGGTAATTATTGCAAAAGCCAAGGATGAGGGAAAAGTGAAATGTTCAGTCTTAACATTTTTGTGCTATTAATTCACGCGAGTTTGTTTGCTAAGGAAGAATTTTCTTTTGACTTTGATTTATAAAAGAAATCCAGAGAGATGTGTCCAATAAAGTTCTAGATGTCCATCCAGTCGATAAACTTAATGGAGACAAGCAATCTATGCTGTAATTGATTGATTTACAGGGGGGAGAATCTTTTCTTTTTTATTTTGGAAAAAAGAGAAAATTATCCCAATCCACTGAACATATCAATCGATAGACTTTCACAGTTCTTAATAAAATATTCATTATAGTTAATTCGCGCATTAGGTTCCTGATTTGAAATTAATTGTTATTGGTTGTAGGACGTTTATCACCCACCTACGGAAGTCACCACATAATTAGAAAATGATTGATTTTGGCGAAGATGTTTTTAAATTCCTGATGCTTTAAAGAATGTTTGACAGTGTGTTCTTAATTACTAGTATCTGTTTCATTTTGCATTTTGCGTTTTTATGCAAAATAGTTTAAATAATATTTTTAATTGAAAAAATGCTGAGGATGAATGCATGACCATTTTGAACTAATACAAGAGGCCCAAGGGCCTTAACGGTCACCTGAGTATAATACAACACTGTGAAGGATCCACAGAAGTATAAAACAAAATTAACTGATAGACGAAGCAATGTTGCCCAAGAATTTCAAAAATCCGGTAATTATACCCTTGCTAATTGTAACGTACGAAACCGGAGTGATCTCCTTGGGATCACACTTAGTTTTCCCAAGCCTTAAAAGGACGATAATGAATGCAAAATATACAAATACAATGAACACTTGCCTATTGTGTAAGGTATTCAATATATGTCACTTGCCTATTGCTACAACCAACTACACAGAACCTGGCTATATAATGTCGCTATTTGTCACTTGTCACGAATTACAACAAGTCACCTTGGCTCTCTGTTATTCTTTGTTTACTTTGATAAGGTATAAAACAACTTTATCCAGCCTCAATGTCCAGTGAACAATTTCTACTTTTGCTAAATATATAAATAATCTTTATGTCAATCTTTTATATTGCTTTCCAGGAAGAATCTGACTTTGAGCATGCTTTGCTCATTTAAACCAAACATTAATTTTTATCTTGTTTCTATATACCCCCGGTATATAACATTCTTTCTTGTATTCTCATTTAATCAAATAACCTGCTATTTAAATTATATACAAGGATTTTTTGATTAACACAATCTAGCAAAGGGGAGTAACTCTCATTTTCTTCACTTATTACAATTGTGTACTCTGTTTGCCTCCTAGATACCCAGGAGCAAAGGAAAGGTACATTTCTCTATAATAATATTTAATACATTTACATTGATATTATTGCATTAAGTTTGTTTGCTAAGTACTCAGAGGCAGAGAATAAGATTGTCAAAGCATTATTGCATTTTTGCTAATTAATCAGTAGAGCCCCACCAAAACACCAGAACTCCTGACCCAGAGGCCATGAAATTCAAAAATTTTGGAAGAGGCACTCTTCCTCATAATTACTATGTACAAAGTTCACAGGCTTAATACCCAGGAGCAGAGGAGATTTTTAAAGAATTAGTGCATTTTCACTACATAATCGTTAGACCCCTGCCCTAACACCAGGACCCCTTTCCTTGGGACCATGAAATTCAAAATTTTGGAACAAACATCTTTCCTCGTCATAACTATGCATATTGTTTGTTTGCCTAATACCCAGGAGCAGAGGAGAAGATTTTTGAAGAATTAATGCATCTTCACTATATAATTATTAGAGTCCCGCCTTAACACCAGAACCCCTGACCCTGGGGCCATGAAATTCACAATTTTGGAAGAGGCACTCTTCCTCATCATAACTATGTACTTAGTTCATCAGCCTAATACCAAGGAGCGAGCAGAGAAGAAGATTTTTATAGAATTAATGCATTTTCACTATATAAAATGTAATCATTAGAGCCCCGCCCTAACACCAGAAACCCTGACCTTGGGACCATGAAATTCACAAATTTGGAAGAGACACTCTTCCTCATCATTACTATACATATTGTTTGTTTGCTTAATACCCAGGAGCAGAGGAGAAGATTTTGAAGCATTAATGCATTTTCACTATATAATCATTAGAGCCCATCCCTAACACCAGAACTTCTCACCCTGGGGCCATGAAATTCACAATTTTACATGAGGCATCTTTCCTCATTATAACTATGCATATTGTTACTAGTAGTTTTTTTAATACCCAGGAGCAGAGGAGAAGATTTTTAAAGAAATAATGCATTTTCACTATGTTTTCATTAGAGCCCCGCCCTAACACCAGAACTTCTGACCCTGGGGCCATAAATTTCACAATTTCGGTAGAGGGCTCAATGCTTATTACAATCATGCCAACAGTTTGACTGCTTGATGTCCAGGAGTAAAGAAGAAGATTTTTAAAACTTGCATTAATCTTAGTGGTTTTGGTCCCACCCCTCAGGCCCCAGGGGGTAGGGACCATGAAATTCACAATTTTGTTCCTCTTCGCCCATAGATGCTATATGCAAAAATTGGTTGAAATTGGTTGAACGGTTTCAGAGAAGAAGCTGAAAATGTTCAAATGTTAACACACGACGACGGACGAAAACAGATATAAATAGGTCACCTGAGTAAACTCAGGTGACCTGAAAATATATTTCAGGTAATAAAAATCTAAACAGGCAATGAAACATATTCTTATGTCAATCTTCTTATGAAATGAGTGCTGATCGGTTAAAAGTATCATGTTACAAAGTATTTCAATATATGAAATAAAAAATTGGGCCCAGTGATGTTTTGAGAAATGAGTCAAAATATGCGATTTACAGGCTAAAAACAATGTAATTTTTATCTTGACTTCTTTATTATATCTTCAATCTTTGACAAAGTATGTTTCAAGTAATGTATAAAATTTGTTCTAAATATATAATTGCTTGAAACCTACATTGAATATTCCTAAAAATAATAACGTAAAAATTTCTCTGAGTAAAACTTGTAGCGCCAAAGTTTCAAGGTGCTGAGAAAAATGTGTAGATTTTGAGAGTTTGCTAATAGATATCCTTCCACCATAAAAGTAATCCCCAATAAATCTTTTTGCTTATTTTGATATAAGAGGTTCTGACCAAACTTTTCTGAAAGGCGACAAATGACATACCTAAAACATAATTTTATGCATGCAAAACCGTAATTTCTTTACTACTGGTACTTCAAGCAACTATTTTGAAATAATTCTTTACAGATTCTCAAAATATTTTAAGGCAGGTTTGCAGAGTTTCCAAAGATTTTTTTTTTAGTTAAAAGAACTATAATTGAGTTGAATTTTCGAATTTTGACTGAAGCCATGAAAACTTGCAGAAAAGTACCGGTATTTCTTGTTGCAATTAATTCATAGTTTAATGAAAAGGTTTGTTCGATTTTGTGGAAGTGACTGGACAGTAGTTATCTTGCCCATTTCATGAACAAACCATTTCATATTTAAAAAGTTCCTTAATAAAAATTCAACGTACCACTACAGCTCCAGATTCATTTTAGGTGAATATTTGTAGAAATATGCACTGGATTTTTTGCGAAATGGGCATTAAGATTTAAGCCATTGTAAATATGCATTACACCCCGGAAATAATGCCTACAATGAAGTGGTTGTTTGTTTGTTTAATGTCGTGTAATACAAGATAGCCACGTTTGAAATGATTATCATCAGAAATTGATAATTCAATCATTTTATTTTAATTCCAGTTCGGAATTCAAACACCGTCTTAAGGAAGCACAACCTGGCAGGCAACTCACAGGGACACGTGACCAACGAATCTTATTTTCACTGATGATGTGCCAAAAGTGTTCACGCTTTAATAAGTTTTGACAAATATGCAACGAATGGAAACGAATTGCTTCCAAATACGATATATGGCTGACAGCTGAAGTGCAGTGACTGGGATCGGAATGGAATGGTTAGCGTTGTGAATTAGCTATAAATCGTGTATTCGATTGGAATTCTGTAAATAGTGAACATTAATAGGATTCATTATCAAAACTGCTGACTTGATTTTGAGGGACTGGAAAAGCACAACGACCAGACTTGATCTCAGATTCTCTCCCTTCAGCCTCTTTATTAAGAATTGACAAGTTCTATACTCAGTGTCGACTTTGAATGCACTAAACTGGGAAATAAATTCATTAATCAACAATTCGATTGGTTGGCCATTTTATCAATTTTCATTTTGCCATGTCATCAATTTTCATAGTAGAATAATGTTTGGTGAAATCACTATAATGTCCATATAAGGTCACAATGATAAAACAGAATGTTTAAGAGTTTGATGTAATTGATCAAGTAAATTAGAAACAAGCACAAGTCGGAAACTTTTTGCATATTAACATATTTAAATATTATATATTAGTAGTTTTGGTACACAAATTTAATCCATGATGAATTTAGTTTTTGAATAAAAGAGCTGAAGTTCAAATGACTGCTTATGTTTGGTGTTTGGAGGTGGAACAGTTTAATAAATTTTGTGTATCTTAAGACAAACATAAGATGTCAGCTAAACATTGTAATATTGAACATGCAAAGTACAATGTAGACGGACAAACAATACGTGTATACTTTAGGATACACAACTAGGGTTGGACACCGGTACGCGGTACCAATACCGTACCGAGTAGTTGCTTCAAAAGTACCGGTATGGTATCGTACCGTTTCATCCTTAACGGTATCCAACCCTATACACAACACAATAAAAAATTGATGCATGAATATATATATATATATATATATATATATATATATATATATATATATATATATATATATATATATATATGTATATGTATATATATATATATATATATATATATATATATATATATATATATATATATATATATATCTATATATATTAGGGATGTCAACGAGTACCCGGTTAACCGGGTACTCGATCGAACGTCCGAGTATCGAATACTAAAATCGGTACTCGGTTACTCGGATGTATATTTTTTTTTATATTTCAAAGTGCATATATTTATTAAAAACTTATCAAAAGATGTGATTTAAATATGCATTGTCCATGTCTATACAGTAATTAGCGTCACCTACACCAGTTAATACCCGTTATCGCCTGTGGCTGTGTACGTGTGTATGTATATACAGCAATTACCGAAACCAATCTCTGGACACCGTCCACAGCTGTTCTCACCTCTTGTGACCCTAATTTTTGTATGGCTTTAATTATTTGTTTTTCTTGAACATCTTTTAATTATGATCTATTAATTATCCTTATAGATTATTTCATTAGCATACGGTAGCGAAATCGGACATACATAGAAATATCGCTACCGATTCAAAAGTGAAGAAATATTTTAAGGACATTGGCAAGGTTCCTGGTTATTGTATAGAATTTTTCAAGAACTTTTGAGTAGGTTTAAATGCACTAATTATGCTATATTCTGGATCGTTTTACCTACCAATCCAACATTCTTTTTTAGATTTTATCAAATTAGTGTTTTTACAATTCTTAATGCATTTCCTATGTAAAATGTTGATAAAAGGGACCTACAAAATTTTTCACCATAATATTTCTTCAAAACTCATTTATTTCATACAGTTTTTGTATTATATACATTATTGTATGTTCATTTCCTATGACTTCTAAATATTTTGGCTGAAAATGTATATATAGAAACAAGACATGGCTATACCGGCACCGATCATCATTTTTGAGTTGCGTCCCTTAACAGCTAAAATTGGTCAAGAGACTGGTTGATTGTTTTTATCATGTAATTGACTGAATTGATTGAAACACATTGTCCTAAAAATATTGGCATGGATTTATTTTTAACTTTATTCGTAATTACTAAATGCTGATTCCTTCACACGACCTAAGAACTGTTCTCAGTCGGCATGGTCGACCTATCTTTTAGTATAGGCCTATGTGACACATCCAGCATACTGAGCATAACAATGGTAAATGACGACCTGTTGGCTCTTTGTCCCTGAATACAATGTATAACAAAGCCATTACTACTTTTCTTTCTTGCTGTATAGATGATTCTACCCGTTGAAGGAAGTGCACGTGCTTTTGTTTACCTCTGTAACATACGCTTTATTAGTTTTCACCGCTTAGAGAATTCTACACGGGAGATCACTCTCAATCACTATTTTATAAGGGAAAAAACCCATGTATTAAACCTTTTTTCTCCGGAAAACCCTGACTTGCAAATGTCCTTAAAAATAACCGAAGAATCAAGACTTTAAAAAATGTAAAAAGTCAGCTGTGCATCTATTATTAAATTAGCGTATACGGGGGGTAAACATCCATATATTTTAAGGAATTACTGTTTAGTTTGTTCACTTTGTTGGGTATGCCAGGGCATCAACGGCCGTTGGAAACGTGGGATAATTTATGAATAAAGAGTGAATTTGTAAATATCGGGAAATCAACATACTTAACTTTCAGATTTATCACAGAGAAAACTTGGAAATGTAAATATTATACATGTACGACTCGCGATCATGACAACGTCCATTCCCAAAGACATTCTCTTTCGCTAGTCTAATCATTACAATGTTGCGTCCTTCTCTCCCAGTGATCAAATTGTCTTCCTGAACAAGAACTGTATTTAAAGCATTTGTAATTTTGGTATGATCCTTATTTTGTAATCCTTATTGAATTACTCAATAAAATATGTTTAAAGTAATTTTGGTGTATTGACTGATCATGTCTTTTGTGTTTGTTTGATACATAAATTAAGTACCAAAAATCGTTTTCGTTGGGCTCGATGTTTATGTACATGCATTATAAACGAAAGAAACATAGATGGATAAACAGGTCTCAATAAAATCAATTTCATGAATACTACTTCCGAGTACCCGGGTACTCGATCGGAAAATCGTCCGAGTAACCGATTATCAAATATTGACCGATTTGACATCCCTAATATATATATATATATATATATATATATATATATATATATATATATATATATATATATATATATATATATATATATATATATATATATATATATATATATATATATATATATATATATATATATATATATATATATACAGATTTTGAATAGAAATGACATAATAGATTCCTAAAATATAAAGATAAATATCGTAGGATTTGTTTGGTGTTCAGATATGCAACTTTGTGCCATTTTCTACATACATGTATATCTATACAATTTTTTGCACACAATTTATGATGTTATTACAAAATCTTACAAAATTTCTTCAATTACTTTAGCAAACATGATTCAAGTTATCTATATAAACACAAATCTAATAGATACATTGCTGATTTCAGGGGGAAAAGTGTATTTGTGATATTTATCCTTAATATGCAGAAGTGTGTATGGATTTTTGTTTTACATTCAAATGTAGAATAATAACTTTTATCAAAATTTATTTCTAATAAATTGTCAATACAATAAATAACTAGCGAACATGAAATAAATGTTGTTCATGCTAAATGTACTCTCTGATTCAGTGGCGGATCAACGATACATGAAAAAGAGTGGGGAAGCAACAGATTGGGGATCTGGGTGGATCCAGGAAAAAGCCCTGGTGGGTGCCCAGGGGACGAAGCCCTCAGAAGCTTCTAGGTTTGTAAAGTTTTGTAGAACAGTTCTATGACTTATCTTAGCTATATTTTACAAACTAGAAATATGTCCATAGGACATGAATGCCCCGCCAAGGGTATATTAGTAATACAACATTTTAACACAAATTGAGAAAAGTGAGGTCAAGGTCAAAGGAAAGGTCTAGGTGAAAAAATATTGATGCAGTTGAATAGCTTACATCAGTATGTATCAGCATATGAAGTTTGACACTAATTTAAGAAAAGTGAGGTCAAGGTCAAAGGAAAGGTCAAGGTCAAAAAATGTTGATGCAGTTGAAAAGGTTACATCAGTATGTATTAGCATATGAAGTTTGATAAAAATATTGTGAATGGTTTCTTTAAAACTGAGCTAAAACTAATTTAAGAAAAGTGAGGTCAAGGTCAAAAGAAAGGTCAAGGTCAAAAAATATTGATGCAGTTGAATAGTTCTCATCAGTATGTATCAGCATATGAAGTTTGACACTGATTTAAGAAAAGTGAGGTCAAGGTCAAAGGAAAGGTCAAGGTCAAAAAATGTTGATGCAGTTGAATAGCTCTCATCAGTATGTATCAGCATATGAAGTTTGATAACACTATCTTGAATGGTATCTTTAAAACTGAGCTAAAACTTATTTCAGAAAAGTGAGGTCAAGGTCAAAGGAAAGGTCAAGGTAAAAAAATATTGATGCAGTTGAATAGTTCTCATCAGTATGTATCAGCATATGAAGTTTGTTAAAAATATCTTGAATGTTTTCATTAAAACTGAGCTAAACACTAATTTAAGAAAAGTGAGGTCAAGGTCAAAAGAAAGGTCAAGGTCAAAAAATGTTGATGCAGTTGAATAGCTTACATCAGTATGTATCAACAAATGAAGTTTGATTACATTATCTTGAATGGTATCTTTAAAACTGAGCTAAACACTAATTTAAGAAAAGTGAGGTCAAGGTCAAAAGAAAGGTCAAGGTCAAAAAATGTTGATGCAGTTGAATAGCTTACATCAGTATGCATCAATATATAAAGTTTGATTACACTACCTTGAATGGTATCTTTAAAACTGAGCTAAACACTAATTTAAGAAAAGTGAGGTCAAGGTCAAAGGAAAGGTCAAGGTCAAAAAATGTTGATGCAGTTGCATAGCTCTCATCAATATCTATCAGCATATGAAGTTTGATAAAAATATCTTGAATGGTATCTTTGAAACTGAGCTTTGAACAGAGCTAAACGCAAAGTGTGACGGAGGACAGACGGAAGGACGGAAGGACAAAAGGACGGAAGGACGGAAGACGGACATGACAAACACTATATGCCCCGGCCATATTCATGGCGGGGCATAAAAATAAATGCAATATCTAACAACGAAAAAAAAATTATTTTAATCTTATGTATATTTTGTTCAAAAAAAAGGAGGAGGGTAGTCGCCATGTTCCCCCTCTTAGTCTGCCAGTGTGATTCCTACAAACAGTTGAATGTGTTTCTTTCGTGAATGTACGGGTGTATTTACAGAAACATTCATTTTGTCAAAAATCTCGGTGTGGTGAACTTTCCCCTACCTATCAAACATAAACACTTCAGGTTTTTGTACACGATTTATATTTTCACAGTAGTATAAATCATTTGCCAGCGTGTGAAACCGTCTTTACAACCAATAACTTTTTAGAATAACTGATAATCGATGACATTTACGTGTCTAGATGCAGTTTACTTGTATTCTGTTAAACTGCCGATATTCCATGTGTCATGAAGGATTAGGCATACCTGTATATTATGAGAGTGTGTTCTGTAGAAGTTAATCACTACACAATTTGTAAGATGGAAATACCATTTTTAAAAGTTTTTGCATCCGATTACCTATATTATGTCATCGTTAAAAGACGGACAACTTGAAATCATTTACTAGTACAACATAAAAAAGACAAAAATGGTTTAACAAGACACAGATTAAAAGATTAAACTTTCGCCAAGAGCATCGGCTGAAGCACATGCCTGGCTGATTTATTCTACAGGAAATAGTTTCACGTGTCAGGAAAATATTTCAGAGGCGTTTATTGCTTTCATTTAATATCCCTCGTAATGTATTATCTCCTGTCAGTCTCTGGAAATTAACAACATTCCATGATAAATGGATAAAATGCATTGTATTACGTAGAACATTCTTATGTAGCGCACCTTGATGTAACAGTACAGCTTGATGGGAATGTTATAAATGAGAAGTTGTTTATGTTTTTTTAGATTGTTTTGTTTTGTTTACGAACACGCAATAAATGAAAAGAAATTTTAAATCAGGAGAAAATAGGCTAAGACCTCTTTCTTCCCCCTGGTTTGGGGTGTCTCTAAGAACGATGCAATAATCCACCATAAAAAAACCTGTTGTCATCCCTCTTACAAAACTAGTATTGATTCGAAGTTAAGGGATACACAGTGCTCACAGGAAGATCACAAAATATGACAATTTCTGAATTTTCTCATTTTTATGTAAACTTCCGTCAATTTTATATGGTATATTTTGTTTAAGAAAACACCAAGCACAATCTTGCCATTCTACCAAAATGTATTTCATGTACAAATATAAGATGCGTCCTGTGTATAAAAATATCAGATAGGCAAGCTTGTACTATATGTTTCCGGAAGTGAAATGCATCTCAAATTTGACAAAATTCCACAAGAATTGGAGAAATTGTGTAAATTCTTCTACTTTGGTACCCTCTTCTGGTCTCCGTGTATGCTTAGTGCTTGCTTTAAAACAAGCATTATTTAAAGATCCTAACTGCAAAGTATCACAATTTTAACAGTGATGATTTTCATAATGAACAAGGAGCCTGATTCGGCTGTTACCATACCTTGTCCTTTCTTTCCGATTGAACAAGTCACAAGTGCGTTGTCGATTCCGCGTCCGTGTTCTGTCTCGTATTCATTACACATTGTCTGAACAATTTGAATCATCAAGGGAAGATGGTTCATTCTGCTTAACTAATCCCGATTGCTTGGAACAGTTTGCAAAAATGCACAAGTATAAGATTAACGCAACAGATGAAATATTAATACTTCCTCGTTCAAACTTTTTATCGAATATCTATGTTATTGTATCCAACTTGCTTTCGTGTTGAAGAAGTTGGACCCCCCCTCCCCCCGAAATAGGATTTTCGCATCTGGACATTTTTCCTCAAATATTTCTCCCCCTTAAAAACGATGTTACGTACCTGCATAAGCATTTAAAATAAAAGTTACATATTAAGTGACTAAGAAAATGCATCAATTTTTTAACAATAATTTGTAAAATGGCTCCCCTTTTACGGAGGCTCATTACACCCCCAGTTTATTTTAGATTTCATTACAGCACCACTTTTAATGAAGATTTTAAATATCCAAATGGAGATTTTGATAGGATAAATATTTTTTAATCTTTTTTCTGATTTTGGTTAAATGTTTTATTTCAAGTTTCTGATTGATAGTATTGCAGGAATCTCAGTGTCAAGTGATGGATATCATCTTCAGTTATGTAAGCAATATAATAACACTTCATAATATTCAATATTATATTTATTAGAAAAAATAATTTTTCCCAAAAAAGAATTAATGTGATTTTCTTCTTAATTTTTGCATGAATAATTTTGAAAATCAGTTATAAATAGACAAGGAATGTATATTTATGAATAACAAGTGACAAATTGAATAAAAAATGTTTTAAGGAAATGAAAATTCCAATTTAAAAAATAATTGGAACAAGAGGCCCATGGGCCACATCGCTCACCTGAGTAACTTTGGCCATGCTGTTCATTACCAGACTTCCCCCTTTGTAATACTTCTTGAGAAGAAGATTTTTAAATATTTAACCTATATATATCAATGTAAAACTTGTATTTCCTATTGGGGTCATGATTTGAACAATTTAGAATCTATACTACCCCAGGATGCTTCCACATAAGTTTCAGCTTTTCTGGCCCAGTGGTTCTTGAGAAGAAGATTTTTTAATGACCCCACCCTATTTTTGTTTTTTCTTGATTATCTCCCCTTGTAAGGGGACTTGGCCCTTTATATTAACAATTTGAACTCCCCTTCACCCAAGGATACTTTGTACCAAGTTTGGTTAAAATTGGCCCAGTGGTTCTTGAGAAGAAGTTGAAAATGTGAAAAGTTTACAGACGGACAGACGGACGGACGGACGTCGGACAACAGGTGATCAGAAAAGCTTATTTGAGCTTTCAGCTCAGGTGAGCTAATAAAAAGTCCATTTGCATGAGTTATCTTTCCTAAATTCCCCTGACTCAAAACACTCTGGAACGGTTGAACATATCTTATTCAGAATAAGCTAAAATTTCTAGAATAAATATACATTTTTCAAAGAAATAAAGACAATCACACAAACCAACAAGAGTACAATACTCTAAAAGCGCAAGTCAATTGTAATTTATTTCAAGGAGGTCGTAGATTTCAACTCGAATTTCCTCTATACGTACATGTTGTCAGTGGTAGAACTTGTTGCTTTCGCCATGACCTTGGGTAGCGAAGATTTGACTGTCATTCTCTGGTCTCTGCTGAAAAATAACCCTTCTTCGTTTGTGATTTATAATGAATCCGTTACCTTGTTCTCATTGTTTACAACACCGCATGTAGTCTAGTATGGAACGCCAAATTAACATATATTCAAATATTTGTACCTATCTTCAAATGAATTGTACCTATCTTCAAATTAATTGTACCTATCTTTAAATCAATTGTACCTATCTTCAAATGAATTAGAGATAGGTATAATTCAATTATACCTATCTTTAATTCATTTGAAGATAGGTACAATAGATTTGAAGATAGGTACAAATGCAATGAATTGAAGATAGGTATAATTGATTTAAAGATAGGTACAATTGAATTGAACCTATCATTAATTACTAAGATATTGGCAATAATAACTACTCCCTTCATTATACGTCATTTCCGTTACTTCTACCGATCTCCGACACTTTCGGGGTACTCGAGTATATATATTTTTTCGCTCACTTATTGACATACATGTGTATTTTAATAAGTATATTATGCTTTTTGCACATTTTAACATACCTTTATTTCTCCTTTCATCCTCATTGTCGTCGCTCTGTATGCTCTGTGCGTTTCCCTCCATGTTCAATATTGTCTCATAGGGAGCGTTCATTATTTTCAATAACACAAAACGAATTGAACATAGGTATAATTGAATTGTACTTATCTTCAAATCCTTTGTGGATATGTTCTAATTGTACCTATCTTCAAATCAATTGTACCTATCTTCAAATCAATTGTACCTATCTTCAAATCAATTGTACCTATCTTTAAATCAATTATACCTATCTTCAAATGAATGAGAGATAGGTATAATTCAATTGAACCTATCTTTAACTGAATTGAAGATAGGTGTAATTCCATTAAAGATAGGTATAATTTATTTGTACCTAGGTATAATTATTTAGAGATAGGTATAATTATTCACACCTATCTTCAATTCAATTGTACATATCTTTAATTCAATTGTACCTATCTTCAATTTATTTGAAGATAGGTACAATTATTTGAAGATAGGTACAAATATTTGAATATATGTTAATTTGGCGTTCCATAGTCTAGAGCGTTTTAAAGATTTAGATCATCAGCAAAGCGAACCTGTACAATTCGTCCCCAGGAGAAAACGGACAAACAATGGAGGTTTATTTTTCTGTGTAGTACGTCACCAAAAAGTGGTGTAATGAGCCTCCTTAATTAAATCGCCATTTATTTGTTCATTAAATTTTGGTGCGAGACTCAGTTACCTGGCTAGTACTCGAAATAAACTGTGTCAATAGGTCGATTAAAGATAATACCTGACACCCGTTAAATTCAGAAGAAAAGCCACACGTGTCCTAACTGTCCTTCATCATGAATGTGGACAATTTAGGTAAATATATTGTGTGTAGAAATGCATAATGAGTATCTGTAGCTTTGAACAAGGGTGAAGTGCATTTTCTGCCGCGTAGTCAATTTCTACAGATTATATTAGTGACAAGATAATTATGTCAACATTTTTTTATGTCAATACGGAAGTTATACATATTGCAGCGCAAAAAAATAAAAATAAAAATAAATCTTAAAAAGACAAAATTTAGTCTAGATTGGCATCTTGCATGTAATTTCATCATTATGTGGCATCTTTTGTCAACAAGGTAATTTGTTTGCATACGTTCATATGCAAAATGCTTATGTATCGACATGCAATGTTCTTTTTCCTTTGTATTGATTAAAATGAAATACACTTTTTATGAAATCAAGAGTCTCCATATAAGGATCTGGTAAAAGCCGCTGTGAAAGCGAAAGATAAAGCTTACTGTCCCTACAGTAACTTTCATGTGGGTGCCTCCATCTTGACCTCTAATGACCAAATTTTCACTGGTAAGTAAAACCAGTAATGTGAATTGATCCAGACTGTTATTACATTTGTTTTGTGATCATATTGTAGTCCACATCTGTGATACAGGTGTTAACGTAGAGAACGCCTCCTATGGGCTTTGTGTCTGTGCAGAGCGCGTCGCCATTATGAATGCTGTGTCACAAGGTCACAAAGAATTCAAGGCCATGGCTGTTTGTTGGTAAGTTATTTGATTTTATTTTGGTTTCCGTTTATTTCAAAAACATATTTTTATGAAATGTGAAAAATTCTAATTCTTTATACTCTGGCGGTATTGGGTTAAAACAATTATGTTTCATTACCCCCTACTTTTCAAGAATCACAAAAATAAATATTTTTAGAAATTACCTTCTTCATATTTGGCAGTGACATCAAAGATTCTTTTAAAGCGCCCTGTGGGGCCTGTCGGCAGGTATTTGCCGAGGTAAGACAGAAAGATTGGTGATGAGAGAAGGGACTTTTGTGAGTAAATGATAATTTGTTATTTATATTACAACTTTACAACGTATTTAAAACTGGCTATCCCTAAGCTAATGACCTATGTTTATCTATAAAGGTCTCAACCCGAACGGTTGATTTAATATACCGGAAAAATATCTTGTAGGGAGTAATGTATTCATTAACTTGATTAATGAATCGAGATATTGCGTAACTGCGGATCTTTTCTGTTTTTCTACGCCTGAGCTCTTTAATTGATGTTATTTAATATAAAGATTGGGGTAAATCTAGTAACATGACTACATGCGCCTTTTTATTTATTTTAACTTTAAGCTCAAGGTCAAGAGGTCAAATATGTTGACAAAAATTATAATAGTTTTAAAACATAGATCGTTGGCTTTTTTTTTTTTTTTTTTTTTTGAAATCAGAAGCCTTTTGGATTTTTCGTTATTTCTAAGAAAGAGGACAAAAGTTTACTTTCAAATTTTGGTGTTGGTTAAAGGTGTTAATGACAAGCGTAGGAGTTGTCTATCACACTCACCCATTACCCTAATGTTAAGCGATAGTGCATTACTTTGTGACCCTATATTATAACAAATACTATTGCATCATTAATCAAAAAACATGAAATATGTCCATTTAAACAATACAAATCTGGAGCTGGGCAAATACGGACCTCCAAAAACATCTGAGGTGGATCAGGTGTCATGGAGGAGTGAACATCGCCTGCCGGACGGTCTAATCGCCGTGTGATCCTTGTCATGATCGGGAAAAACGGAAAAATCCGTCAGACAATTCATGAACAATGGCCTAACAATTAGTATGAAAAATGTCAGTCAGCGTTCGACTTAATGATAGGTTGTATTTGCTGACAAGGTCATTGTATCGACCATAAAACTTAAGAATGATGACTTCAAACGAGACTGTTGATATCCTTGTTTCACCAACTCGTTTGTCAATAGCTTGTCTCGTTCATACGTACAGCATGCTCTTGCTTATCGAATCAACTGGAAAACAAAAACCCCATATGCAGGGTATATTGCAACATAAGTAAGCAAGTTAGTAAGTTATCATTAAACTAGATCATTAGCCTAATGATTCATGCAGTTTTTAAGAGAAAAAATATGAAATGAAATTTTCAGGTCATTGAAGGCAGCAAGACAGCTTTATAGAGAATCATCCTTTTTTTCAAATTTTAATTATAGAATTTAAATATTTTCATACATTCCATTGATATTATCATTCTACACATTATATCAAAAGACCGAGTTGAAGCATGAACAGGGCAAAACCACGGACCAAAGCAAACACCAGAGGTGGAATCAGGTGCCTAGGAGGAGTAAGCATCTCCTGTCGACCGGACACACCCGACGTGAGCCCTCTGCATTGATCTGATTAACAGAGTAATCCGTAGTCTAAGTATAAAACGCAATGATGTAAACACATATCCTATGAAACATGTTAAACAAAATACGACCCAACGATAAGTTATATTTATAAACAAGGTCATGATAATGACCATAGAATTTGCGAAAAGTTGATATTAAACGGAATTATTAAAGTCCTTGTAACTTCAACTTATTTGTCAGTAGCTTGCTTCAGTTTAAAAATTGATTGCTCAGAGCATGCTCAAGCGTATAGAAAAGTTGGAAGACATAAGCACTATATGTAGGTGATGGAAAATTACTACATCAATAGGAGACGTTAACGATTGAAATGCAGAGGTCATCTCGATTGTCATAAAGTTGAGTTATAAGCCATTGTCGTCTGTATTCAGTAAAACATCCAAAATGAACAAAAGATGAGACAGATTCTGTAGTGTCTTTTATTTCAAGTTCACTGGGATACCGGTATATCGTTTCGACAAATCAATGAAACTATTGTTAATTGATGAAATGTCGTCGGTTTATCTAAATGTTGAGCTGAAGGCCACGGTAAGAGTTTTCTTCTTTCGTTAGAAGTTTTTGAAAAAAAATCTGCTTCGTAGAAATATTAAAGGGGTCGGCTAATAAAGGAGCACAACAAATTGTTGGAAGACCTGACTACATAGATACATGTATTGTCAATTGGAACTACAGCATCTATTTAATATGAACTTCTGAGTACTTGTATATAGAATCAGAAGGATTTTTAATAAAGTAATTTTGTAGATGACGATCACAAAATATGAAAATTCACGAGTTCCATTTTCATTGAGAAAGCAGTTGTCTATGATGTCAAAAACCTGCGATTAAATTTATCGCGAGGAATGTTATAGAAAAGCCATATGTTTTGGTGCTATTGATGTCTGAAAATTTTGAAATTCAAACAGATTGAGAAGGCAAGTGATTTGTTTTGATTATGCAATTTTTACAACAGACAAAATGTTATTAATCTCAAATTCATCGACCAACAGAACAAGACTGTCCATTTGCGCGTCTGCTAAGGACCAAGAGTAATTTATTGTTGCCAGTAATATGAAGGGGTCACATTAATCAGTTCAAGTCTTATTCAGATCACCTGGAGAGGAAACGGTGTCTTTAGCTTTTTTCAGTGTCAGATCATACCTGCCCGACATTTTCTGATCTACTTACTCAGGAATCTGACACCTAGCAGATCAAACAACTTAAAACGCTAGGACTTTCATCATTATTTTTAAAATAGCCTCTTTTCAGACAAAAATCCCTCTTGTACACATTTATTGTTTTGTATAATAATTCATCTCTGTATGCCACTTGCACACATTCTTATCTAAAATTTCTGAACTAGCTGTATGAAGCAGGCCTGTTGAACGCGGGGGGGGGGGGGGGGGGGCAGAGGGAAGGGGTCCGTCACCCCCATTTTTTTCTGAGTACAGTATTTTGCTATAGTAAATGTTTGCCCCTCACCCTCCCCCCCACCACCACACTTATTGTTGGTATATTAGGTTAAGCACTGGAAAATACCAGGATTTGGACAGTTAATTAGTTTTTCCCCTTGCTTTTCAGAATTTTTGGGAAGCCCCCCCCCCCTTCCCCTTTTGAAACCGTTGCTACAGGCCTGTGTAGATCTCTAAAAGTGTCTTTTTATACTTTTTAGTTTAATTTGAACATGGATTTCTATATGGTAAAACCAGACTACACATCCAAAAAGATCACAGTAGGAGATTTACTGCCAATGGCATTCACCCCAGCATCGCTACAGGAAGAAAGAGTGTAGAATAGCTTACAAAATGATACCTGAATATCAAAAGATAAGGAAAGTGTTGACTAACCATTATAAATATTGAATGACATGTCTTTATTAACAGTTTTGATATGGAATTGAATCTTGTATTGTATTTCATTGTAAAAGACGTTATTTGCTGAGTGAAATGTTTATCGAATTTTTAAAATGCATATTCATGATAGCAACAGAAAGACTGTAAAAGTATACACTTTTCTACGTTGTAATGTAATGGTGTTAAATATAAATATGAAAAATCCCAATATTAAGATTTAAAAATTAAGATTTATTTACAGATAAATATTTGATTCTTCTAGTTAACTTTTACAAAAATTCAAAGAACAAAGGACTGCCACTCATATTTTAAAAATTTTCATTTACGTTTACGTCACTTGTTGCTAGCTAATTAAGATTGGGAAATTTTTATTGGATAAGAATTGTTAAGATGAATGTATCAGGTCAAAGCAATTTATTGTTGTAATATCATAATACATGTAATCTGTTTTTGCATTCTAAGTAAGCCAATCATTTTGAATACCAACGATACACCGTTCTTTTTTTTATGGAAAAGCATTTCAGATATAAATGTTTATGCGATGTAATGTTGCATGTGTTAATTGATTCTCCTTAAAAAGACCTTGTTCAAGCATCAGTGCAAACTTAGGAGAGAGCTTATTGTCCGTACAGCAATACGTCGGGGTTGCAGTACTTACAATTAGTGATCAAGAGATTACGGATAATTAAGATTGGATTTTATTTTTAACTTTTTTATAGCATGTTCGAATATAGTCCTGTCATTTTAGAAGTTTATTTGTTCTTTAGTTCTGCGCATTTTCACACTTCATCTATCGGTTCCTTGAATTTTCATTATATCAATCGTTGTCAAAGCTCGGGACGCTGTGAAGTTTTTTGTGCACTCCGGTAGATCGTCAGCATATTCATGTTGCTGCTATAGCGGTCACTGACGTGTACAGATAATAGTGTGGCATTATCAGAACTAAAATAATTAAAGTAGTATACTCATCATTAATTTGTGTGTCTTATATTTGTCATATATTTATCATATATTGACATGTTCTAATATTTTGTTTTGGTTTCTCTGATTTTGAATATCCATGAGTAAATTCCAACGACTTCTTTGGACAATCCTCGTAGGTTTCTCCATCTATCATGATGTAAAAGGTGAAGATAATGAATAGTAAGCAAACTCATAAATCGATTAAAGAATATGAATCGTGAACAGGGCAAAAACCAAGGACCCCTGGAAACCCCAAAGATGGGATCAAGTGCCTAGAAGGAGTAAGCATCCCTTGTTGACCTGTCAATCCCGGTGTGAGCCCTCTGCATTGATCGGATGAACGGAGTAATCCGTAGTCAAAATGTTATAAAAACAATAGCCTAATGATTGGTGAGAAATATGCCAGTCAAAATACGCCCCAATGAAAAATTGTTTTAACAAACAAACAAGGTCATTATAACGACAGAGAATTTGCGAAATGCTGACTTGAAACGGGATAATTTGAAACTCTGTGTCGTCAAATTATTTGTCAGTAATCTGTATCTGTTAAAAAATTGATGATACTCAGAGATGCTCTTGAATATTGAATAAGTTGGGAGACATAAACACCATTTGCAGGTGATAGTGGAATATTACTACAGAAATAGGGAGAGTTGGCGATGGAAATGCTGAAGTCTTCCAGTTTCACACATAGACTAGTTTTTAGTTTGCCATTAACGTCTACAGTCAGTAAAATATCCAAGGATGAAACAGTTATATCAGACTTTGTGGCATCCTTTATTTCGAGTTTACATGGATATATTGAGTTGACATTTGAATGAAATAATTATTGTTAATTGAGAAAACATTGTCGATTCATCGAAATATTGAAGTAAAAGTCACAAAAAAAAAATTTCTTCTCATGTAGAAGTTCTTGAATTCTTGCTTATTTATATTTTAAATTCGTATCCATAGTTATGTATCGCATGACATATATTCTAAAATTGCCCATTTACATTGTATACTTCAAAATTTGTAATATTCATTTTTATTAAATTTGTATTTTATAATTGTTCATTTGTACAGTATGATTTTTGTACATGATTTTTACGTTGTGTAATTTTCCATTTGATTAATTCTATCACGTCTCCATTGTATTGTAAATTTCCTATTTGTATTGTACTATAATCATTTGTATTCATTATTGTATATTAATTGTTTAATATATTTTCTATCGATGTTCTATAATTTTCCATTTATGCTCATTATTTATACTTTATTGTATAATTCAACATTTAAAAATTTATCTTTTTTTAATTTGTATTGTAATTAAATTCCATTTGGGTTCGATAATTGTAATTAAAAATACAAACAAACTTTGTTATCGAATACAAATGGAAAATCATAAGTCAAACAGAAAATCTATAATACACCGGACAGTTATAGAATGCAAATAGAAAATTATACAATACAAATAAAAAAAATAAATAAACGATACAACTAGAAAATGTACCATACAATTTATGGAAAATGTACGATACAGGTAGAAAAAATATATACAGTACAATACAAGCAGAGAATATACAATTCAAAGGACAATTATAGAAAACAAAAATATGTTTAATACAAATTGTGAAATAAACAGTACAAATGGACAAATATAGAATGTAAAAAGGAAAAAATCGAATATTATAACGTTTGACATGTCATATTACAGCTTGTTTTCTATGTTCTATACTCCTGTCTGGTATAATTCCACTAATTTGTTACAAATTACAGCATTTGATATTACATTCACATTCCTTCAGGCAAACTTTTGAAGAAATTTATTTATTTATTTGTTTATTTCGTACAATGTTTAAATTGTGTGTCAGTAAAAAAGAGAATTTTCTAAGGATCGAAATTACATTCTTCCTGAGAAAAAAAAATTCTCAGGATTTCTTCACGAACAATTACAAAAATGCAACTTGCTGACTTTTTACATGTTTAATATACAAATTCTTTTTTAACTTAAGAATTTGGAATAATCACATGGCAAAATTCTGAACCAGAAGTATCCTGATAATACTTTTTTTATTTGAACTTAATCTTTCGAATGCATTTTACATTTTATAGGGAAATCCACTAAGAAACTTTTCCATTTCTTCCGCTTTATCAAAATATCCATATAAGGAAAGTAATTAAATGAGCAGGTAGGTACACGGACAAAGTTGCATTTGTAGAAAAAAATGTTTTCAATTTTATCTATTAATGTTTTCTTGTTTTTCACTGTCCGATAGTAAAAATTTTATACAAATATAAATCCATTTTTGAACGTAAATCATAAAAAGGGTTGTGGTTTAGCGCCCGCGTAAAGAAGGGAATTTCCGCCTTGTGCCTGGTTAGAATTTCCTCGTTGTAGCTGCAAGCAGAGCATTACATATATTGGCGGACAGCATTGTAACTGGGGTGGCATTGGCATCCCACGAATCCTCGGACATATTCCTACAGGAATAAAACCGTCTTCGCACGCCCCTTCTGCTGCACATTGACAAAGAAGCAACTTTCCAATCTTGCCACACAGTGCATCAGCGATACCTAGAAAGACGAGTTACACCAATTTTCAGTGAAAAATATAAATATTCTGTTATATTAAATCAGAAAATTTAAATATTTCTAATTCGAAATTTGAACATTAAACGTCAAAATATCAATAAGCTTTTAGCAAATAGAATAATCAAAAAATGTCATGTCGATTTACGGAAAGAGGCCACTAACACTCTTTGTCTTCAAACTGCCTTCTTAGACATATCCTCTTAGACATTTTTCTTTTCTTAAAATGGATTCTAAATGATAAATTTATTTGCACATTTTTTTTTATTAATCAAAGGCTTCAAAGACTTTTCTGAAGTAATAAAATTTACTGTTAGGGAAATTAGTTTTAGAATATATCTAAATTGATTTCAAAACAAACTACAGCTTGTGAGCTTTTGTTAGCCTACAAACAGATTTGAGTTAAAAATCATGATCAGTAAAACCTGTTTTTTCTCTCTTATTTAAGGGTCAGCGTTGTTTTTTAATTATTATTATTATATTTTTATCATTTTGTATCTTTATTTGATTACTGCACCATATGTGTAAATTAGAAATATTTAATATATCAAGCATAGAAAACTTATTTTACTTGAATCTTTTTTTTCAGTGGAAGCATTATTTGATAGACCTTATGGTATTATCTGTTTAAGCGAAAAGGAAAACGAAACATAATAGAATTGGGCATGACATGATTGTCAACGGTAATATTTTCCTGAATGTCAAGGAAAAAGATAATGACCTTGCTACGATCAAACTTAATTAGATACCATCACTAAGTGATATTGTTCTCGAAAATCTGTGAAATTATCATCAATTTCTAAATAAAATGAATATGAGAGAAATCCATCTTCAAAAAGATCATTATTACTGTACCGCTGAATTCCAAATTTGATTTGTAGATTTGAATGGGGATCACTACCAAGCGAAACATATGTTTTGACGTCAGTATTCAATTAAACATAATTATCCAAATTTGAAGCATTTAGCCAAAATCACTTGAAATAGTTCTATGACATACATTTTTAAATTAAAAGAAAAGAAACAAAAAAGTTAGGGTTTAACATTCAATTCTATGATAACATAAACACATAAATAAGACTCCATTCTAGACAACCAAATACCTTGAGACTGGGCGACACAGGACCCAAGGCAACACAGCACTAAAACTGAAATTAACGTCCAGTGCATCTCTATAAGTTAACATATACCTAAGCACTGCACACTAGAGGAGATTGCTGTTCTTTATATATATGTTTTCGGTCAGAATGACAAATTTCATCTAATGAGTCTAGATTTAATTTATAACAACACAAAGTTTTTAGTGTAAAGGTGGACACTATATTTCTAACTTTAGCAAAAGTGGTTGACGTAATTTGTTACCATCTATAAAAAGTCAGGTCATGAAGGGTATATTGTTAAAGAAAACATATTTTATAGATATGATTTTCCTAAGGATAATTGGAATGGAGTTATTTGATCTATTTGTATAGTATTAATGCATCACTCTGCCTCTCTCTCCTCTCTCTCTCCTCTCTCTCTCTTTGATCAGAAATACCTTGTTTTGTGCACTTCTACCTAACGATTGTTATTCTTAACCTTGAAAAATCGATTTTTATTTTTAAGGCGTTTTTAATGGACTGTGATTTTAAAGTTTTAGAGAAACTTTCTGGAGTAGGATGGTTGGTTGATGATGTCACCATAGATCCCCAGGACTGCAAATTTATTACATGACTGAAAGAAATCATGACTGAAAGAAATGAATTAGGGGCATTCTGAGGACACTGGTATAGCACAGATGGTGATTCTAGTGCATCTGAATCATGCTGATGTAAGGTAACTCGTTTCTAAGATAGGAATGATGGACATAAAGGTTTATGGTTTATATTCATACTTGCATTTACTGGACTTGGCCCCGGGAATCATGAAACTTCTTAATCTAAAGTCAAATTCTTCATGCATGTTGTGGAGAAATTATTTAGACGACAAACAATCCAAAAAATTACTATCTGATATTGTATCATCCAACTGCAGTTGTCTGCAAATTCATTAATGCCATGATAAGCAAGCTTGAATAAGTAAGCTAAAGTTTGGTTTAGCTGATAAGATGGATCATCTCTTATTTTGGGTTATAGCATAATATATTTTTTCTTCGTTTTCCACTAATAAAAAGCACAAGATAATTTCAAATTATATGTACATATAACACAGATGACCCAACAACAAAAGTTTGTTGGGCATATGAGTACAAGAACTAATATTAATAACTGTTTACAAAAATATATGAACAGTGATGACACATTGTATCAATGTATTGATTTAATATTGCAGAGCTCAGTACAAGTTTAACGAAGCTCCTGTCCTTACTCCTCACCAAAAACAGTAACTGCTTTGAAGGAGAAACTTCAGACGTATTGCTCTACAACATATTCAACAAGTAGTGAAAATCAAATGTGGATTCTAGACAACTCTAAAGAAATTTTGGAAAATTTAAAATCTCAAACTTTTCAAACATCAATAGCATCAAAACAATTACTTTTCTACGCTTTATACAATCTATCCTCACGATAAATTAAAGATCGGGTTTTTTCGGACATCATAGACAACTGCTTCCTCAATAAAAATGGAACTCGTGAACTTTCATATCTTGTGAATGGTTATCTAATGTACAAAATTACTTTGTTAAAATCATTTTGATTCTACATTCAAGTACTCGGAAGTTGATATTCAAATGATGCTGGAGTTCTTCATTGACAGTATCTATGCAGTCTTTAGAGACTTCCAGCAATCTGCTGAAATTCCGATGGACTGATAGTGTTCCTTTTATTGCTAATCTGTTTTTATATTCCTATGAAACAGAATTAGAAACTTCTTCATGAGAAAAACTTCTTCATGTGGCCCTCAATTTAACATTTAGATACATATTGACGACGTTTTATCAATTTACAATAATTACTTCCATTCATATGTCGACTCTACATATCCAACTCGAAATGAAAGACACTGTACAGAGTCTACCACATCTGTTTCATGTTTGGATGTTTTACTGACTATAGACGATAATGGCCAACTAAGAAGTAAAGTGCTTGACAAAACGGGATGACTTAAGCTTTTCTATCGTCAACTTGCATATGGTGTTTATGTCTTTATGCAAGAGCATGCTCGAAATACGATCAATTTTCAATCCGAGGCAGGAAACTGCCTTAGGTAACAAGGATTTCAACAACCCCGTTTAAGCTTTTCGCGAATTTTACGGTCGTTATAATGATCTTGTTTGTAAATACAACCTATCGTTCGGTCGTATTTTGTCCGAAATGTAGGGTCATTGCTTTAATATTAAATCTGACTACGGAGTACCCCGTTTACCTGATCAATACATAGGCACATGGCGGATGTGACAGGTCGACAGGGGATGCTTACTCCTCCTAGATACCTGATCCCACCTCTGGTGTATCTAGGGGTCCGTGTTTTGTCCTATTCAAGATTCATTTTGTTTAGATTTATGCTGTTGATCACTATTCGTTATCTCCACCTTTCACATATTGATTCTATCAGATTAAAAAAGTTTATAGTTAAAATCTGTCAGCGTTATGCACTTTTTTCTGTCAAGGTAGTGCTTAGCTGCTCCGTTAATTGCAATTTACTCGATGGATAAGGAAGGGATTTTTAAAATATAAATCAAAATTTCGGACCATATAAGGGTGCACAGAAAATAAATATAAGCATTACATTATTAACCAGCATATTTTGAAAGATGTAGTTCCATAACTACAATGGTGTTCACAAAAAATCATAACGAGCTTAATCATTTTTATAACACGTTGCTTATTTTGCTTACAGCTATGAAACTTCATCTTTCAAAAAGTATTAATTCAATGCTTAAATAAAATCAATTTTTATGAAAATAATATTTTCTGACGCTTTTGTGTTTGTAAAAGTGTATGATATTTAATTATGAACGACGTTGTCTACTTAAGCTTTATAATTTATTCTTATGAAAGATATTTCGGGTAGATAGAAAAATTCTGAACTACCGTGACGGCTGACGTTATTCGATAAGAAATGGGTAGCAACTGTTCCGAGGCCCCGTGTCACGGTAGGCGTTGGCACAATAAAGAACCCTCACTGTTCAATGGCCCTAAGTGGCGAGCAAAGGTCTAAATATGAAGCCCTTCACCGGTATATGGTGATTTCTCTATATGAGTGAAAAATTCTCGACCGGGACGTAAAACAATCAATCAATCAATCTAAAAGGCTCTTTTTTCATTACTTCAGCGGTGTACTCTTGTTGATAGTGTAATGCAGCGTAAGAGTCTACAAAAAAGTGTTTAAAAATGGTAAAATCCCTAAAAATTATGTAAAAACTTGATAAAAAGAATCTCGGACCACAGTTTATGATAAGATATGATTTTTGTGTTCTATCTTCTCACCGAAAACACAAATCGTTAGATAAAAATATTTAAATCGAATTACTACCCATTGGAGATCCTTAGATATGTAGTATTGCTTCTTGCTAAAAGTTCTTGCTAGAACTAAATAGGAGACTTTGGTAAAATACATGCACTTTTGAAAATAGTGTTTATTTGACAGAATATTAGACGCATGTGTGTTGGTATTTTAATTTTGACTGCACAATGGACATGGGCTTGATTTCTAGATACAATGGTAAATCGTGCAACGCAAATGCAAGGAGAATCAACCTTCATTTAGACTAATCCCTTCTTTAATAGGATTAATTGGAACATGTCAGAAGAACGTATTTGTATTGTTGCAGTGTGTTGTTAATTTATTGTTCTTTTAAACCTGTACTTTTAATGTACAAGTATATATTCTTAAGATTTGATTTGGATAATTATAGCATGATGTCGTAACAATACGTTCAGGTTTTCGTTAACAGAATCTTCAACTGTTACCCTTACCCCTCCCTACCCTTTTTTCTTTTAATGATCGGACCTTAAAATAAAATGTAAAATGAAAGCATAAACTCTTCAGCGATGTTGTATATTAAACTTATAGAGGCTGAAAAGAAAAAAATGGAAAAAGAAACAGCTAGAGTTTTATATTTATTTACACCTGTACAAAAAATTTAAGATGACACAAAGGTAACAGATAGATAAATTCTACCTGAAACTAAAAAAAATATTTTAGATTTAATGAACAATTGTTCTCTTAAAAAGCTCTTTCAAGACGAAGCTTAATCTCAAAATATGATTTTATTTATATAAATCACTTGTTTCAAAATTACTGAAACACAGTGCATATAAACATAGACATCTCAAAAATAACATTATATATTAAATAGATGTAAAAAAAAAAAAATAAAAAAAAATCAGAATAACTTTTTCCCTTCCTGCATTGACCTTTTTGGCAATATTCACACAGGTGTGTTTAGATGCTATGTATTGAATTCACTAATTCCCAGCGAACTGTCCAAATTTTTCTGTCTCCCATTGGACCCTCGTTCTAAATGAACTTGGAGAACCCATTGTTTATTTTATTTTTATAATGTTGCGGGTGGTTTGGTCCCCACTAACCGGAGGGAATTCCCGCCTTGCCTCTCCCTAAGGATTCCCGTGGAGGAGAAGGAATTTCCACTTTTTGTCTGATTTGGGGTTTCCAGTGAGGGAACAGAATTTTCGCCCTTTGTCTGATTTGGATTTCCGGGTGAAGATAGGGAATTTCCAGCATGTGTATGATTAGTATTAGATCTTTGTTGATATTTTGAGCAGATCATGGCATACATGGGCGGACAGCATTGTATTTTAGGAAGCATTGGTATCATAGGAAGCATAGGACATATTCCCATAGGAATATGACCCTCTTCACATCCATCTGCAATTGTCGTACATTGACACATAATTAACTTCCCAACCTTCCCACATATTGCGCTCATTGTACTTGGATTCATCAAATCCGCCATCATTGCACTTGAACGCATCGTTCCTGAAAATTATTTTTTTTAAAGAATTATTAATGATGAAATAAAGAGTGTAATTTATAACTCTTCCTGATCTAAAATTTTCATCTGTTCTACCTTTGATCATGATTCCCATTTATGTTGCAAAATTGTGTCTTTTAGTTATTGTTATAACTATTGTTATTATTTAGTTATCGATTTTAATTTGATGAATTATTTTTTTGATTAAAATTATAAAATTGTTATATCTAAAATTATTTTCAGGATAAAATGAAATAACTACATGTACTAGCTGAATAATTGAATTATCATATTTTTTGTGTTAAATTTAATTGATATATTTTATAATTAAAAAGTGATAACTAATATGATTATTTTGAAGAAAAAATAATAGAATTAAGTACATATTACATGGATATAGAAAATGATAGACATGTAACTAATATTCAAAAAACAATTTCGCAAATGTTTGAAAGTAACTTTAAGAAATTCAACAGTTTGTATACAAATATTCAAGCAGATTAAATATTTTATTTTGAAATAGAATTTACTTCCACGTGTATTTAAGCGAGTTCTAAATTTATTTTCTTATATTTACATATCAGTCTAAGAACGTTAGAACTTTAGAAACATGACTTTAAAGAACAAAAAAATAATAAAATGAAACTTTAAAAAATACTTTTTTAACAATGAAATACCTCCAGTTTGCAATTGGGCGTCACAGATCCCCAGGCAACATAATGCTAACACTACAATTGAGGTCTGATGCATCTCTACGTGTTTAAAATATACCTATGTACACTAAAGCAGTTTGCTTTCTTTTATATATTTTAGCTTGAAGTCACAAATTTCAATTAATGAGACTTGATTTCTTATGACAACATCAACTTGTGCGCAGAGAGGGGGTCACGATGTTGCTAATTATAGGATACACTGTTGATGAACATATCATAATGTCTTAAACTCATAATGACCCGAGGGAAATCCTTTTAGTTTTTGCCACAAGGAAAACTCAGGAAAGAGTAATCATTAAATATTGACATACGTCATTTAAATTGCGACATTATTGGGTATTGATACATATGTAATTTTTGAATCACATTCAGCGTTTCGTAGAGGATTAAAGTTATCTCTTCTTTCTTATACGACAAAGGTCAAGTAATAGGAATATGATGTTTACAAAGCTGGCGATTGAAGTCATGTCAGTGAACTACGTTTCTGTTTTAAAAAAAACAAATCCCAACAAGATTTATGTTTTTATTTGTGACGTGGTGATGTCACAATGATCCTCGGGGCCCTGTAACTCATGACCAAAAGAGAAGAACATCAAGGGATTTTAAAGGACAATGATCCTTTTTATAGATGAAACTAATATCTATGGAATAGAGTTGTAAGAAAAAAAGAATAATGGGAGTTTCATATCACCAAATTATTTAAAGTCACATTATCTTTAGGTACAAAATGTCTTTGAGAGTTTTCAAACTGACTCTCATTATCTTTTACTTCAGTTGTCTTTGAAATTGTGTCTGAATACTGAATTTGTATTATAATTAGTTTGTTCACCAAAAAAGAGCAAAGTTTTCCAGGCATGTAAACGATCAGTGTTTATTCAAAGTTCAGCTATTATTGTTTGGATCAACAGTAGTATATTATACAAGGTCAATATGATGATAAATCCACCTGAGCAGTACAATATCATCTGCCACATCCGTTTCATATTTTGACGTTTCACTGACTATAGACGATCATGGCCAACTCAATAACTAAATTGTATGACAAACGAGATGACTTCAGTTTTTCTACTGTCAACTTTCTTTATATAGTAATAGTCCACTACTATGTGCATATTATGTATATGTCTTCTAACTGATTCGATACACAAGAACATGCTCTGGGTACGATCAGTTTTTAAACCGATGCAAGCTACTGTCAAATAAGTTGCTGTTACTAACTTTTCGCAAATTCTACAATCGTTATAATGATCTCTACAAATACAACCTATCGTTAAGTCATTTTTGTCTGATATGTTTCATACCAATAGTATTGCTAGAACATTTTATTTATACTTTATTTGATTACGAATTGCTCCTTGTACCGATAATACATAGAACTCACTGGTGTGACTGGTCGACAGGGGATGCTTACTCCTCCTAGGCACCTGATCCTACCTCTTTTATTTCTAGGGGTATGTTTTTCTCCCCGTTTACGATTCTTATTCTTTACTGGATTTATGGGATAGATCATTGTTTGTAATCTTCACCTTCTACATAGGACCCATAAGGTAAGTTGTATTTTTAAACAGGTCATTTTAACGACCATAGAATTTGCAAAATGATGACATTAAAGAAGTTTGTCGAAATCCTTGCAACATTAACTTATTTGTCAGTGGCCTGCTTCGGTTAAAAAATTATCGTAATCAAAACATATTTTTGCATACCGAATCAGTTGAATAATATAAACACCATATGCAGGTGATACTAATTATAGTTATTGAATATTGCTATTAAATAGGGGGATAGCGATGGAAAAGTTGAAAGCATCCCGTTTGTCATATAGTTTAGTTGTTAGTATGGCATGTCTGTAAAACATCCAATATAAAAAAGATATGACAGACTGTGTTGACTAATAACGAGTTCCCTATCTAAATTACATGTAACTTACAAACCAAAATATATTGCATGATGATATTCTTCCAACAGAAAAAAAGACAGGGAAGTTTTGATTGCAATTTTGTAGCATACAGTAATTATGTCATTAAAGTGAAATCGTAAATCTTAAAATATCCATGATCTTAAAAACAAAGGTTAGAGGTTATAGGCATGAATTCTATAATCTTTCTTTGAAAACTTTGTTGTAATCTGACTATTATGGTAGAATTGGTATGTAAGCCCTTTTCTGTGGGAACTAGAACCTAACAGACCTACCTGGGATAATGTCTTTTTTGAGAGTAAGATTTTCTTTTTAAGTATTTCCACCACTGGGCAAAAAACTTCATAGTGTAAGGAAGGTGAACGGAACAAACGTTAGAATATTAAGTATTTTTTGTACATAAATCACATACCCTCTGTACATTTTCCGTACTAATTTATGGATTACAAAGAGGTGACAAGCAATCCTTATAAATTAGACGTGGCTGTACACAATGTAGTTAATATGTTATGTTTACCTACATAAGAGTACCTTTGAAGTGCGCAAAAGTGTACCAATTTGTAATTTATCCTGTTCCTTAAGAAATAGCAAAAGAATGGTAAAATAATGACCTTCACCTGTTTGATATGTAGGGAAAACATTTTTTGCAATGTTACAAATATCTACTCAGCAAAATTTTGTAAGAATATAATAAATAGAAAATAAAAGTAAAATTCTCATGTTTTTTACATATATGCCCCAGTAATGATTTTTCTTTATTTCTATGGCCAGTCTTTAAAATTTGATGAATGTCAGGCATACGGTTTCCTTCGGCAGGAAAACACTGCATATGTATTCGAAAGTAAACTTTCCCTCTGAAAATTAGTCAGCCTATGCGCCTCGGTTGACAATGGTTTTCTTGGGAATGAAAATTTTCAATGTTACACTCAACTACATGCAATATTTATATATTATCATTTGACCTTAAAACCAATCAAATTCATGTACATGTATTTGTAATGGTTAAGCTGTTTCTAAAGTTTAATGACAAATTAGCAAAAGGTTCTTCATATATCATTAGGAAAACACTTTTCTACAGATCGTACCATCAACGGATTATTATTGAGAAGGACACACTGAAATAATAATAATAATACCTAACTAGAAACTCATTGCGAGCAATGAGAGGTCTTCCGTCCGATTCTGAAAACGAAAAAGAAAATTCAAGCTGAAAAATAATAAAAGAAATTCAGACACTCTGGAGATTTTTTAAGTATTAATTTAAAAAAGAAAAAGGTTAAAAAAATGTATTTCTTTGATCACTTCCTGTAACAAGCGGAAGTGACGACTGACACGTTTAACCCAAATGGTTTCGCCTACTTTTCAAGGTCTATTACTCATAAAAGTTTGGTGTTTTAATCTTTTACCTGTTTTTGAGATCTCGCTCAGATAACTTCTCATTTTGAGGACAGGAGAACACGCGACCGGAAGTGATTTTTTGAAAGATATTTATGGATACTCTAGACATTTGCTATCTGAATAACATATTTAAAATTCATTTCAAATACTTTGTCTACAAAGATATTAATGGGAAAGAAAAATACTCAAATTATGTAGTTTTTCTCTTATAACCGGAAGTTGACGTTTTTGTTTCCGGTGGGACAAACATCTTTCGAATCCGCGAAAAAGATGCAATAAAGTGATGCAATTTTTAATTAATAAAAGGAAAATTGAAATTTTACGATTTCTTTGATCACTTCCTGTGACGACCGGAAGTGACGACTGACGCTCGGAACCCATATTAATTGCCTTCATCTTAAGGTCTGTTGTTCGTATAAGTTTGTTGTCTTAATCTCTTACCCTTTTCGAGATCAACTCGTCATTTTTAGGACAGAAAAACACGCGACCGAAAGTGAATTTTACAAAGATATTTGACGTTACTCTAGATATTTGCAGTCTGAATAACATATTTAAAATTCATTTCAAATACTTTATCTACAAAAGATATTAATGGGAAAGAAAAATACTCAAATTATGTCGTTTTTCTCTTATAACCGGAAGTTGACGTTTTTGTTTCCGGTGGGACCAACATATTTCGAAACTACAAAAGAGATGCAATAATATGATATAAGTATTAATCTAAAAAAGGAAAGTTGAAATTTTACGATTTCTTTAATCACTTTCGTAAGCGACCGGAAGTGCCGACGACGAACGAAAAGTAGCGACCAGGCTTGTATCTATCACGATCTATAATTCCTGAAAGTTTCACATTGATATCTTTTACCGTTCTTGAGATTATCCACGGACAAAATGTCATTTTAAATTCAGAAAACGGACCGTAACTTGGCACCGGTAGTAAATTTCTAAAAATTCTCTCGGATAAAATAACTTCAGATTACAACACATTGTTTCTGCAAATATCATTAAAATCCATCCAGTAGTCTTTGAGAAATCGCATGCACAAATTTTGGATTGGGCGGAAAAATAATAATAATAAGAAACAGTAGAATCACTATAAGGTCTTCCGTGAAGACGGAAGACCTTAAAAACAAATTTTATTGCATGAACAACAAGAAATAGGGTGAATTTGATTCCACTGAGCTCCATCCTGCAATAAAGAATACAATATTTTGTCATCATAATGATACAATAAGTAACTGCGTGTTATATTATATGCAAGGTATATTAAATTTATAAGTATTATATAAATACATTTATTTCTTTTCCAGTCATTATTCACCTTACGTTACACATCAACAGTTCTGTATCTTCCAAACATGGAACACATATAGACGATTTGGACAGGACAACATTTCACCGCTCGGAAAGGATAACAGTACCCAGCTGCGTAGGAATTCTGAGAACACTGATACGCACACGGACAGAGCATGCGCAGTGGACAACTCATCATTTGTTGTATATTTTGTCCTATGTAAAGAAGGGCTATAGGATTAATTTAAAAGTACACACAGACAATGCTTCTAATTTGATAATTTTGTTCTTAAATGTTAACATTTATTCCTATATGTAAATTATTAGTCAAGGTAATAAATTGTATTTCAAGTCTTTACTTTATATCTGATCTGTACATTGTAATATATATTTTTTGGTATATGTCCCTACCAATAAAGTTACGCAAAGTTTTTACCATTT